GAGAATGATGTACGCATGAATGTAAACCAATCTCCGATCCCTACAAGAACATAGTAAAACTATTAACACCAAGCTGTTGTTGTTGTTGACAGGATGGTACCGAGTTGATGGATGAGAGTGTGTTGACCTTTTACACAAACCAATGGGAAGACTATCAGTTCTCCAGTAAGGTTCTAAACGGTGTGTGCGCCTATTTAAATCGTCACTGGGTACGGAGGGAGTGTGACGAAGGAAGAAAAGGCATATATGAAATCTACTCTGTAAGTATATAAAGCTACTGCAGCAATAGACTGATCTAGTTGTGGCAGTTTTGTGACATATGATAATTTCTTAAAAAAACGAAAAGATGGCAATGTGACGTTTTTGGGACTACTTTATTGCATGCGACAGAACACACACTTTTGTAATGGTGTTATATGTCACCTGAGTGTATTGATATGTAAAAAAGCAGTGCCGTTGGTGTAACTGAAAATGGCACAAAATTTCCATGACTATTATACTACACTCTCTGTAGTTGTCATAATATTTCATTTGTCACAAAATTATTTTAGAATATTTTTTTCCAATTTATGATTATATATGCCATATTTCGAATATAAACACTTAGGCTCTTTGTTTTTTGAAATATTTGGATGAAATTAGGACATTTTGAAAAAATAATAACCAATTGATGTTTTGTGAGCATCTGAATCACTGCTCTTCAAAATTAATTGAGAGGCAATTGATTATTTAAACTTCCTCATGGGAAACGTAGCTCATTGGTAACCAGTGTTGACCCCCACCTCACCAAGGAAATGCAACATTTTGGACAGTTAGTTTTCCTTATTTTTACAATATCTTTGTGTTTTAGAGAAAACTGAGTTAAGAAATTTGGCATTTTTGAAACAATTTCCATGGAAATGTATGTAAAGGCATTATTTCATGGAAAATTCCCTAAATCTTGTAATAGTTTTTATTTACCTATCTTATAACATTCATTTTTCAAATGGCTCAAACTTCAAGGTTTCACTGGCATTTAATTCACTATTTTGAAGCTTTGAGCAATTTCCTGGATAATTTTACAAACTTAGAGAAAATGAGTTATTGATATTTTTCATGTTCACATGGATTCATATTGGCGAATTTTACTTATCGGCGAAAATAATAAAAACCAACAAATAATTAATGAGTGCACAGTACTGTAGACATGTCCATTGATGAAATAATGATTATCGATCAATGTTTTATTCCAGAGAGTACTCGTATGAAAAACTTTCAGCAGTCCGTATGAAAATGAAAAATAAGTAAATAAATTAAGATTCCTTTGACATGATTTCTGTTTGCCAACAGCTTGCTCTAGTGACCTGGCGAGATAATCTTTTTAAGCCTCTTAATAAACAGGTGAGTAAAAATGGTTCTGACTAGTAGCCATTTTGTTTTGTAAACTGATTAAAGATGGCCTACTGGAGGCCATTTTGTTTTGTAATGAAAATACCCAGTGCAAAATCGCAGCACGCTGTAACTATGGCATTACGATGCCAGATGTATAATTATATTCTTTACCATGGCTCTCAAAAAAGAATATGTACACAACTAGACAAAATAAGGAAAATGATTGACAGACTATATACCAAAGCAATCTCAAATTAACTATTGTTAAAATGCATAAAAAATAAATGGCTTTAGCCTGTTGGAATGAAAACATTTTTTCTGCCATAAATTTGTTCAGCTTTTTGTCATTTTTACAGAATCCATTTCACAGAATCCCAATTGCAATTTTGAACCAAATTGACAAATTATGACATTGCTTCTAGTTTTTGATCAACATTTAATGTGTAAAAAAGCAGACTATAATAAATAAAACTACTTTTCAAGTTGACTTTGGCCTTTTTTTGTGACCTTTTCTTTTTCCTTCATTGTAAAAGTCAACTAATTTTGTAATTTTATTTTTTCCTAAAATCATAATATCTCCCTCAAACTGTCACATGGTGAACTAAAATTTTCATTTGCTCCCTTTTCCGTGAAGGAAATGTGGAAATTTAATGTGGAAAAGAGCAGACTGTAACAAAACTATTTTGTGGATGATGTCTAAAGTCGACTTTGACACTCAAACGGGTAAATATTTGTGTTTCAAAATGTTGACACTATCTGATTTCCCAATTTTCTGCAATAGGCACTTTGTGTTCTCCATGGTCTACCTTGTATAAAGATTGTTGGTATCTGATTTTGTGTTGATTGTATGCATCTTTCTAGCATATGTCAACTTTTCTTTCTTATATGGAGGTGCTAAATTGTTAAGTGTCTTAAAAACTAGTTGCAATTTGAAAATGGACAAGATCGTGCAATGGTAACCAACGACGAGATCTAAAAAAAAAAATTAGATGAGTGTCTGCCTGTTTGTTATCTACAAGAATCAAATGAGCTGCATGCTTCTGGATCTTAATTTGTTTTCACGAAGATAAGCCCCATGAAGGTCGTTGACTGGTGTTCATTTTGTGTTTTAATTTGATTAAAGATGGCTGACTGGTGTCCATTTTGTTTTGTAATTTGATTAAAGATGGCTCACTGGAGGCCATTTTGTTTTGCAATCTGGTTAAAGATGGCTGACTGGTGTCCATTTTGTTTTGTAATTTGATTAAAGATGGCTCACTGGAGGCCATTTTGTTTTGCAATCTGGTTAAAGATGGCTGACTGGTGTCCATTTTGTTTTGTAATTTGATTAAAGATGGCTGATGTGGAGGCCATTTTGTTTTGCAATCTACCATACAAGTTTCACTCAGTATGTGTTTTTATGCAGGTAACTGGTGCTGTTCTGAAATTAATAGAGCGAGAAAGGAACGGAGAAACAATCAACACACGTCTAATACGAGGTGTCATAGATTGCTACGGTAAGATGATGTTTATTATCTCAATTTCACTTCTTCCCCCGAGTGGTACACACTAGTACATCGCCTATAGTAGGCCAGGAGTAACTACAAATCTGATTGCTGGTCAGTACTTGCGAGATTTACAGTTCCTGTAGTTGTGAAAACGGTATTCAGTTGAATCGTGATATAAAGCTGTCATTCCTGTGTACTTGTATGAAATCTCAGCATTCTTGTTTTGATGAGTGACTTATTACTTAACTTGTCCTGGTCTAGATTTGTGTAATCTTGGTGGTGGAGCTATGTCACATGACATGACATGCTAAGACGCGCACCACTGTACCATGTATTTTTATGGGCTCTGTGCGAGCTTGCGGTCTGTGCGGTCAAAGAGCCGGTGAAATCAACTGAAGTAAAGGAAACGACACAAACTCAACTTTGAAGCAATCCTGAGAAACCAAATTTATTTATATTAAGAAAAGAAGAGGGTTTTGGGGGGGAGGGGTTGACGGGGCAACAAATATCCCAAAGTGCAGTTTTCTGACAGTTTTCAGCTTTTGTTTTCACCATGTTGGATGCAAAGTGGTGAAAATGCCCTGGTGTCTGCCCCTGAGAATAAGTTGGCCTGTTGATAAAAAAAATTTATGGGAGCTTTCATGATTTGTTTGAGTTTTAAAAAAATGTACTTATACCAAGACATATCAAATATTTCCCATCATAAATGTAATTCATAATGAGATAGACAATCATTTTGAAAATAACTCTAAATTAACGAATTTATTGATGAAAGCGTGTGCATTGATTTATTTACTCTTGTTCTTGATCATAAACTCACTCCATTGTTGGCTGATTTTTTTTGCAGTTGAGCTCGGTTTGAATGAAGATGATCCTACGTCCAAGGGACCCACACTAAATGTCTACAAAGATTCGTTTGAAAGTCAATTCTTGGCGGACACTGAGAGGTTTTACATGTCTGAAAGCACAGAGTTTTTACGACAGAATCCAGTCACAGAGTACATGAAGAAAGTAAGTATTCTCGTCTATGCTCATTGAATGGAAATAAATGAGGGTGCCCCCTATGGCCATTGAATGGATATAAATGATGGTGCCCTCCATGGTCATTGAATGGATATAAATGATGGTGCCCTCCATGGCCATTGAATGGAAATAAATGAGATGG